CTTTCAGGAGATAACATCCATCAAACATGGAACTAGAACAGTCTACCCCAGTGATCGAAATAAAGGGTTCAGTTCGACATTCCAACCACCTGAAGAAGGCCGGAGCGTACGACGGCCGAAACGTTGTGATAAATATGGCGACAAAGATGAGGACAATAGTCCGCCTAATGTAAATACTGTACATAATACCTCATCTCAGAAATATAGACAGACTCCAAAAGATTTGAAGTTGACAACTTTTTTTATTTCACTGAAAAAGCCTTCAAACACTTCTTTCTTTTTTCTTTCTTTCATTCACATAAACCAAGTAGTGTCCTTACCACGCCGTCAAAACGAAATAGTCCATTATTTATGAAGCATTGGCAGAAGGATTTAACCATTTCTGTCTTTCCTTGAATCTTTTTCTTTCATTTTCTCACTAAAGCCAAGTAGTGTCTTTTCCCCGCTTTTCAAGCGATCAAAACGGGATAGTTCATTATTTATGTGGTATTGGCAGGGCGTAACGGTCGTGCAAACTAAAGAAGGGCAGCATAAACATAATTATAATAGGGCTTTTTAAAAATTTCTCCCACTAGTGAAATACTAGCAAGTTAGACATGAAGAATTTTTCGATGTACAAATTAATTAAGGACTTTATAATTGACGTGAGAAAATCTTTGGGTCTTGTTACTATAATTATTCTTGTTCAATACGCTCTTTTTCATGGTTTTTAATCTTAAAATTTAGTTATACATGGGAACTAAATATTAACTTTATTTTCTAGCTACGCGTGTCGCCATATTTGGAACGATTTTACTGAAAGTAGAATATATCCTCTAACCAAATAATGCATTTGCGAAATAAAAATATTCTCATAGATATTAAACTAAAACGCGTAAAAAGAAGAAAATTATCCGTTGTTGATGCAGTCTGTGATGAAGAGTTGCTGTCATAAGAACTGAAGCCAGGGAGACAATATGAAATGCAACAAAAAAATAACGAAGATTCCTGAAAGACATTTTTGTTCTTATTACAAGACAGAAATATTTATTTAAGGAACTGATACAAAAATCACTATCTGTAGATATTTCTGATATAAGGTATTGTAATTATTTAAACTATTTTCGTTGTTCGGAGTGTTGTTCTCATCTTTGTTGCCATATTCACGACGTTTCGGCTGTCGTATGTTTCGGCCTTCTTCAGGTGATTGTAATTTCGAACCAAACCCTTTATTTCGTCCACCGGGGTAGATTCTTCTAGTTTCACGTGCCATGCCTCTTCTGAATATCTCACTATCAGTTATCTCCCTTTAACTCAATTCTCCAAGTTTTCATTCACCTCTGCTAGAGCCTGGTATTGAACTCACAACTCCTTGGGTCAAGTCACTGGATTCAACCAATGCTTTTATCTACTGGGCCATGTGTCCTTGAAGAACTAGTACAACTTAACCCGGTGCACGAAATAAAGGGTTCGGTTCGAATCGCCTGAAGAAAGGCCGGAGCGTACAACGGTCGAAACATTGTGGATGAGGACAACAGTCCAAATAATGTAGTGTAAATGGCACAAAAATTTTAGGAATTGTTTAAACAAAATATGTGATGTCCATAAATCATTGAATCATTTCCGTAATTATTTACGACTTAGTTTGGTTTGGTTTGTTTTACGGCATATCAACCTCAATAGGTTATTTAATACCGATAGGCATTTTATTGCTAGTAATCTTTTTTTTTCAAAAGTGTATTGCTGGTAATAATGTATTGCTGGTAATATTTTTTTCTTCAAAAATTAATTACTGGTAAAATGCATTGCAAAAATATATTGCTGGTATTAAAAAATATTTTTGCACTTTCATTGAGTTTTGACCCCAGTTTGGGGGTTAACTATTTGCCTATACCTGGGACCCTAACAAGTGCTACTACCCCGGGTCGCAATGGACCTGGAAACACCATCAATTAAGAGTTGGTTCTACCCTCCTCAAAACCTCCTGAACAGTGGCCTTACTGTTGGATGTAGTTTATCGTCTTACCCAGGACAGGAATTTAGTTTATCATTATACCCAAGATGCGGACGTAGTTTATCGTCATACCCAGGACGAAATTATTCATGTATAATACGCATCATCCCGGATTTTGATATCTAAAAGTTAATAATTAAATATTACCTGTATATGCCGGCCACGGCATTCATCGTAGTCGGGTCTGTATAATTGAAAGAAAGTTACATATCTGGTCGAAATTAACTAGTTTAAATCACTAAATAAACGCATTCGTTAAAAGTAATCCTCATATACATGATAAGCATATTTTCACCTGCTTCACTGTTGTCCATGTCGAAGATAGGCGCCATGACAGTTTCAGCTATGTTGTGTGAGCGTAGTCGATGTCTTCGATGTCGTCGACGTTGTGCAATGATTCATGGCGTCCTTCTTCTTCAAAAAGGTCATCTTTACTGTCCTCCAGCGCTTCCCAGACACAGCATATGTTTGAAGACATAGTTTTCGCCACTAACCACTGGAATCTGTTTACCGTTTTATGTGTCCGTGTGTCTCCTCTATAAGCTGTGAAAATTTCGGGTTTCAAAGTCTTATACAGAGTTTTTCAAAAGTCCATGTCTAATTCTAAGAACGCTTATTTCATGAACTACAAATGGTAGAAAGATTGAACTGGTACCATTTCAAAACTAAAAGTTTCAAGTTTTCTTCTGTTAATTTAATTTTAATTTAACACATTAAATTTAATTTTTGAACACTACTCTGCCTGGCAGATGGTCCGGGCGTTCAGGACAGACTTATCGCGTGTTTCTGCAATGGCCACCTAGGTCTCCAGACCTCACGTCATGTGACTTCTTCCTCTGTTGTGTATGTGAAAAGCCTCTTGTACATATTTTCTTCCCATAGACGTGGATGATCTGAAGACGCGAATAACTGAAGCCTTGGCAAAAATCGACAACGCTATTCTTGGTCGCATTTGGCAAAAATTAGATTATCTTTTGGATGTGTCTCGTGTAACCCACTGTGCTCCCATTGAACATCTGTAACAAATCTTTATAGAAACGTGGAAATATTAGCCTTCATGAAATACAAATTGTGTTTTGATATCATCAATAGGTATTATGATATACAGAGTTGTAATGTGATACAGACTTTTGAAACATCTTATATAATTTTTTTTATTTTTTAAATGATCAAAACCCGGATAAAAATATTCAAGAAATTTCAAAGTTAGGTTAAATTCAATTGATACAATGTCAAGGTGCATTAAACAGGATATATATTTTTCTCTGAAAAATTTATAGCTCAAATTTAGCAGTATTATATAAGATTGCATAATACACAATTATTTATTGTAAAACGTTAAGTCGATGTATACATTTAACTATGAGATAATGAGTAATGAAAGAGACACAAATCTGCAAGTCAGAAAAGTCAACGTCACCCCTGGAATCTTCGACGTGGTATAATGGTTGTGTTATTAAATAAATTACGACTGAATAGCGACGACGCAGAAGATGAAGACATCGACTACGCTCACAACATGGATGAAACTGTCATGGCGTCTATCTTTGACACAAACATCAATGAAGTAAACGAAAATGCGTTTAATATATATATGAAGATGTTTTTTTTAATCAGTTCGATCCTTAAACGTTCAGCCTTTTGCCACATTCTAAGCTATGCTTAGAAACCCTTCATAACCGGGCCTCCCGCCTCGAATTCCCTAACCTTCAGAAGCTGTCGATGAAAAAAAAAAAAAAAACTAACCTCTGTTGTTCCTACTAAACCTCATGCCTCTCCTCAGATTTTTAAGTCATGCTAATCCTCAGTCGTTTTGGAGTTGGGTAAAAAGGAAAAACAAACGGTTCACTGTAGTTTATAGGGATACAATTAGATTCGTTTTTTATGCATGTAATTGTTGTTTGCGCGTACAACGTAGACCTGGGGAGCAACATCTTCCAAAATGTATTCACTCATATCATACAGGCCTACTCGCTTGCCATCATGGTATGTGGTATCACCGGTTACAACTCTCTCTCTCTCTCTCTCTCTCTCTCTCTCTCTCTCTCTCTCTCTCTCTCTGGTTCTCAGTAAGGAAATGTTTATCAGCGTCCAGTATAACGAGAATATTGTTCAACCAATTCCGCTATCTTTCCTACAAGGTGATATTTTGTTCGAGTCCGCCTACATCACCTTCGGCAATTTCCCTGGTGGGAGGAAAGATTGCCTGACCTATTCTCCTTTGTACATGTGTTGGACGCGTTCGGACGACATCGGACACGTTCAATTAGCCCACCTACATTACTTGTATCGTCAACAGGTGCCACATACGGGAAACAATATATCGCAGAATTCTATACACAATCTTCCCGACCCTATGCGTGCAAGAATGAACTGTAATGTATTAAGATCGAGTCAGTGTACCGGTCATATGCGCCTTTTGTTTTACCAGTTCACGTGCTGATCTGAGCATTTAGTCAGTTACTATCTAGCCTAGCTATATTACATAAAGGTTTATTGATTGATTGATTTGTTTATTTTTGAAAGATTACCAACGTTTTGCATGTTATTTAAAGCAAGAAGATATTGTTAGAGTTTCAGAATGTTTTCGATGTAATGAGTTTTACTAATGCAAGTTAACGAGAAATGGAGAAAGAAAAGGTGGCTTCATACTATCCCCAAGGGTATTTGCACGTAAGTAAATATAACAAGGCTGACTGGAATTAGAACCCAGGTCTTCGATTTCAAATTCCGAGCCGTTATCTTTTACACCACTCGCATATCCAATCTTACAACACCTGATATTCCCAAGCGGTCATCCATCTCGGTACTGACCAGACTGGACGTTGCTTACCTTCGGGGATCGTACTTACACCAGCGTTTCAACATTACATAAAATATTAATCTTGAATACATCGAAACACGTATTCAATAATTTGTAATTTTATTTTCCTTCAGTGTAGTTATATTTAGAGATAGATAGATAGATAGATAGATAGATAGATAGATAGATAGATAGATAATTAACAGCCTGTGGTAGATAGATAGATAGATAGATAGATAGATAGATAGATAATTAACAGTCTGTGATAGATAGATAGATAGATAGAAAGATAGATAGATAGATAGATAGATAGATAGATAGATAGATAATTAACAGTATGTGGTAGATAGATAGATAGATAGATAGATAGATAGATAGATAGATAGATAGATAGATAGATAGATAGATTACACTATATATTTTTCGGGAAATGGTCAGAGAGTTAGATAGATATAAAGAGAAGGGGTGAAATAAAGAGAGGGGCGGTAGAGCGAGTTGAAGGAGAAAGTGCTAAAAACAATAATTTCTACAATTGTGGAATATAAGAATGGATATTGTTCCGATAATTAACGGGGAACTGGGAAGGGTTCCAAATTTCCTCGAAGAAACACAAGTTTGAAAAGAATGGTGGGAAAAATTGATGCAAACCTCTATATTGTTAAGTACGTCAAAATATCATAAAAGAAACTTCAAAAGCCTGAAGGAGATTTGCTGTCATCCCAAAATTATCCACAAGAGAATTCTGGAAAATAATAATAACAATAATCGTAATGAGGATAAAATGAAGTTCCTTTTTATTCTACGTTCTTTGTCGATATCAGCTGATGAATTTAAGTATAGCCTATATACTTAGAAAAATATGTTTTTACATCTTTTATCTTGAAGCTACATTTTATCTCCTTTCGTTGATGTTGGGTTTGATATTATTTCCATACGCTTTATCCCCAGGCGATAAGTACAATCATTATATATATATATATATATATATATATATATATATATATATATATATAAATGATCGAACGTGATATGTCAAAAGAGTTTAAATATATATGATTTCCAGAATCTTTCAAACCAGCTTTTCGACAAGCGTTTTTTCACACACTTGAAAGCTTTGTACAATTCTCTTCTGACAATACCGAGTTTGGCGCAAGGATAAATTTTCGTACATTACTTACATTATTCGGACTGTTGTCCTCGTCTTCAGTGCTATATTCACAACGTTTCGGCTGTTGTACGCTCCGGTCTTCTTCAGGTGATTTGAATATATGAAGATATTTGAAAAACAAAAACGGACATGATACATACTGACGTATGAAAAAACGTTGTGAATATGGCAATAAAGATGGAGTTCGAAATAATGTAAATAATGTAAGTAATCATAATACCTCATCTCAGAGATATAGAGGCCGAAACGTCGTGAATATGGAAATGAAGATGAGGATAACAGTTCGAAATAATGTAAATAATGTAAGTAATCATAATACCTCATGTCAGAGATATAGGCAGATAATTTTTTTCATCAAACTTCGACGACATTTATATATATATACATTTATATATATATATATATATATATATATATATATATATATATATATATAGGTTATATAATTATATAATTCTTATATATATAATTATATAATTCTTATATAATATATATAAGCGGTACATTTTGTTATATTTTCTTCATATTGTTTCCGATTTCTCGTTATTATCTTTTGGTCCCAATATATAAAATGATGCAACGACGTTCCTTACAAGAGGCTGAGCCTGTGTTAAAGCATAGTTTGCAAGAATCATCAGCATTAATCGAGACGACGCTCCAGCAATCACCTGAGATACCACCAGGTGTTGTACGTTCTTTATCATATTTCGAGAGGTCACTGGTTCAAATATGTTGCCTCAACTTCAACTCCACCCTTGAAAACGGTCTCCTTTGTTATCAGATTATCATTCAGATATACAAAGGCTGAATTAGAAATATCACTTCAGCATCTGAGTACAAGTTAAGCAATAGTTCGTAAAACCGAAATTTCTACCCAGTACCGCAGCCCATGAAAGCAAAAACTGATTCATTTACTATTAAGTTGGCGAGAATGGAGAGAAGAGCAGATGTCAACTCGGGATTTGAGGTTGTTTTCAGACAATTCATGAGGCACCCATTTTCCAAGTTTAAGAACTTTTCCAAGTTGTTGAAGATGACGATGAACAGTTGTATGGTTTGAACTGAGAACCACTGCCAATTCCTCAACTGATAAAGCAGGATTTTCTTCAAGGACTGCTTCAAGAAGCTTTTCATCAAACTCAACTGGACGTCCGGTTCGATCTTCATCTTCAAGGGTGAAATCTCCACCTCTGAATTTTGCAAACCATCTTCTACAAGTTCTTTCATTCACACATTAATCTCCATAAACAGAGTAAATGTTTCTAGCCGATTCGGCTGCTGAGTTTCCTTTCTTGAACTCATAAAACATTATGTGCTTCAAATGATTCTTGGGTACTTCCATGTTAGCAGGGTTTTAACCAAACAAAATTTAATTTTATTGTTCTCTGAAATAAAATTTGATCAGTTTCAATGCATCTAAACATAAAAATAATGTTCAGCTCCATTAGACATTATAAAATACTCTTTAAATTTCGTTCATTTAAAAAAAAAAGGTAAAATTCGAACTGCAAACCTAATTAAACCTATAGAACCAGATAAACCTACCATCCGCGTAGGTGAAATCTTGCTTGGTTTATTTGGCTCTTTAGGTTTAATTATTTATATATATATATATATATAAGTGGACGTTCAAGCCAACACCCAGGGGCGATAGTGTGTTTCATGTCTATTGTATTGTTCTAACGGTTACATTGGTGGGCGATAACGTGAGAATATTATAATAGATTACTCACAATTCAATACAATAGAATACTTACAATGCATCACTAACATATATATATATAATTGCGCAAAAACACAACGCCTGTGGCCTGATTATTGAATTTAACATGAAACAGACTGTCGCCCCTAAATGATGACCTCAATTTTTTTATAATTTTTATATTTCCATACACCCTATCTCTGATATTGAGCCTTTTAACCCATAAATATAGCATACCTTGAAATTATATTTTATCAATCACACACACACACACACACACACACACACATATATATATATATATATATATATATATATATATATATATATATATATATAATTTAAAAAAACAGACCACTTTAAGGTTCCATTGTTATAATTTATTTCACCAGAGAGTTTATTTTTCTCTGGATCATCAGACCTCAAAGTTTTTCTTTAAATTAAATTATTCGCTCGACTTAAAATAGAGCTGTCCGGATTTCATCCACCTTGGGATTATCTACACGGATTACCAAGATTTTCATTATATATATTTATATATATATATTGGGGTGAGAGAGAGATAAAGAGAGAGTGATTCTGTGAAACAGGCAAAGGGAATTTTCTGTTTCGAAAAATGAACTGACAAGCTTTTTCATTGTTTACCAATTTTGAGTTAGCAAACTTGTTATCTTCTTCTGGCTTCCGCCAAAGACTTTCCCAATTCAATTCTATGATGGCTTTCTCATCGTTCAACGCTTATTCAATCGTCTTTGTCTCTTATCCGAAGTTTTCTGCGTTTTATACAGTTGTCTTTTCTTGTTCATTCGTTCCCCTCTCAGATGGTTACCACTCGTGTTGACGACATTTGTGTTATCTTGGATTCTCGCCAAAAGATCTGACCGACGTAGGGAACTGCTTGAAGAAATTGCAACAGCCTTTCATTATCTTCATTGCAACGAAGAAAAATCAAGAAACAGTAATCGGAATCCCGTTCTAGACTTTGTGTTTCTGATTTCATTCCTCTTTCGCCTGAACTTTTTTGCCAGGATATAATGCGATTCGATAACTATGAGAAAACATTCACTTCAGTTACAAGTATCTATTTTCCACGATAAATTAACTTATAGATAGATATATATGTAAACACTGTAACTGATAGATAGATAGATAGATAGATAGATAGATAGATAGATAGATAGATAGATAGATAGATAGATAGATAGATAGATATTATGGACAAACAGAAAGATATAGATATGAATAATCTGAGAAAGAAAGCAATCAAGGAAGGGAGGAAAAAATTAATAAAATTATATCAGAAACCTGAGACAGATAGATAGATAGGAACAGACTGAGATAGATAGATAGATAGATAGATAGATAGATAGATAGATAGATAGATAGATAGATAGATAGATAGATTATCGACTAATTGAAAGAGACACATATGAATAGTCTGAGAAAGAAAACAAGGAAGGAAGGAAGGAAGGAAGGAAGGAAGGAAGGAAGGAAGGAAGGAAGGAAGGAAGGGAAGGAAAAATTACGAATAGACAAATAGAGATAAATATATTTGAAATACCTGAGATAGATAGATAGATAGATAGATAGATAGATAGATAGATAGATAGATAATCTCGCCTCATTCTCCATGTATGTATAAATCAGAAAAGACATTATAGATATGATCTCGCCTTATTCCCGGTCTATGCATAAATCAGAAAATACATACCTTACATCCACTGCCTAACCTCTTTAGATAGATAGATAGATAGATAGATAGATAGATAGATAGATAGATAATATGGTAAGGGGGGACGTTTTCTGTCTTCTTACTTTCACTTTCGTTTTCTGTTGACTGCTAACTAGAATTGAGTAATGAAGTTGAACATGATTAGAAAATTTTTTGAAAAAGTAAAAAAAAAAAAGAAGAAACTATAATAGTCGTAAATCAACATAGACACAGCAGCAGTTAAAAGTTAAACTCGGCATAAAAAAAAACATTTAAGGCACAAGGGATAAACGAACAGGTGACAGTGACGCTTTGGATATTCGCCTAATTGTAGCGCCTAGGCGTCAAGTAAGCATGTCAGAATTGACCCTAATTTGCAGCCCAGGCAGAAATTTGGTGTCTAGACAACGTGTCAGTACAGCTACTTATTGTCGATTACAATGCGGGGCTGATAATCTAATTGATTTAAAATGATTCTTTCTTTGCTTTTTTTTTTAATGTGAAAATGATTGCAAATTGATTTTTCCTGTAAAAACCTGGGACAATGTTTCTTATACACAGAATCTATAGGATTCTCTTCTATTATTCGGAAAACAATCGTTATCTATCTATCTATCAGTCTATCTATCAGTCTATCTATCTATCTTAATTTTACTGTAGGTTTCACCCTTTACAAGGTACGGGAACCGCTCGAAATCGAGGGTTGCTCGAAGAGGTAGTTTATATGGATAAGAGGTGGAAAGAACTGTTAACTTTAGACTTGAACAGGTTAATATTGTAGTGATCGGGACAACATCCTCTTGGGAGTCTGTTCCACAGAGCATCGCTTCGCAGGAAGAAGCTGTTCGAGTGGAACTTATTTCTCACCGATGGGGGGATTGTGGGTAGTTTGCTCTGGATGGTATGTTCTAGCCATGAAGGTTAAATCTGGCGGAACCGAGCACTTTCCGCGGAAGTAGCGATTGAATTGTGAAATTATTACGAGGACGAGGATGTAGTGTATCATCTTACCCATGACGCCTATTTGTGGAGTCTTATCCCTCTGCAGAGATGCAGTCGGCGTATTCTACAGCCCCAACCGACAGGGAGGTAGAAACTTAGATATTTCTGTACGTTTTTTCAGGCGATCTTTAAAATAAAACGCTTAAAGATTGGTTTAAGCGATGAATCGAATTTATGGTGTCAGCAATTATCGTATTAAACCCTAGCTTTCGCATTGAGTGCAAGATTGATTTTTTTAAAACACAGGGGAAAATCAATCTGGCTTACTAGGTCATGAGAAAAAGACTTCAGTGGCTAAGCGAAGACGTTACAAAAAGAATCTGCGACGGAAAGAATAAATCTTGACAGAATGGGTGCAGTAAGAGAACAGGATGTAGTCATGACATTATGTTTAAGGTTATAAATTTTGTTTACTTGAATGTGTGTGGTTTGATATTCGTCATTAGTCCTCTGGTTCATATTTTCTATCTGCTCTCCACGATGCTGAGACAAAGTTCAAAAGTATTTTAACATTTATGGGGGTTACCCTGAATATTTTAATATTGACCACTCCAAATCAAGAGTCAATCGTTATCTATTCTCCACTTCCCCATAATCTTCTCTTCCACTATTTTTTTTCATTTATTTTTTCTTAAGAACTGCCGCTTTCTGGAACAAACTCCTACGTGGGTGCTTTCCTTAATTCTTTAATCTTGACCTCTGCAAATAAATGGCCAATCGTCATCTGTTCTTCTCATTCCCATAATCTACATTCGTTACCACCTTCTCTTTAACTATTAGGCTGGTGCAAAAATAATGACGTAATAATGTCGTTTTTTGACGTATTTTTAACGTCAAAAAACGACATTATTACGTCATTATTTTTGCACCAACCTAATAATTTCACACCCTTCACTCATTATTACAATTTCGACTGTAACCCCCTACATTGACTAACTCTCGAGCCTTTTATTGGGTGCTAATTAGTAAAAAAAAAAAACATTAGATCAAAAATATTTTGATCAGTTGTACCATTCAGAGCAAATATAATATATACATTACCATTACAACTAAAATATCTTTATTATCTTTAATTTAAGAAATATTTCTTAGGTTCAACTGTAAAAAATAAATATAATTTATCTAAAGGTTGTTTAGGATATGTGAGGAAGTGTATATGAATTTTATTAAATTTAAATACACTTCTGACTGAACTATGATAAAAAATGAACGTTAGACGAAGGCTCAAATAACTACTGCTTTCTTGAAAAACAACAGCTTACTTTTCAAATCTGCAGCTTACAAATCTCATATACGATTAGTCATTCGTTTATTGTGATCAAAATAAAGCGTGTGTAGGAAGAAGAATTAAATGTTTCCACGGTGCAATTCTTCCACCATTGGTCAAATGTCATTGAGAAGATGTATTGAATTAAGAAACACTGAGGAGGAAGTGAATGCGAAGAAGAAAAATGCCTTGCAGCGAAATTATTTATACTCAAGATGGTTACCGTCAGCAGTGAAGTCGATGGCTGCCGGCAACGAAGGAAACTTCCTTTGCAACAAACAACAGACGGAAAGCGTTGTGGTGTTGTCAAGACCTTCTACACCTTGGCCTTTTCTAACCTTCGCGGATACTATATAATTAATAGATTCAAATTTAGATAATGATCAGAGTCGGTGTGTCGATGGGCGTGTGTCTGTAGGTAATTTGTGCGTCGGCGTGAGTTTAGTCACAGCAGCGGTATCGATAAGAGCGAGATATATATTTCTATATATTTACGCTAATGGATACGCACGTAATTTAGTGATTGTCGACGCAGTATACGGGAAATGCCATTGCGCTTACTTTCACACAAATACGTTTAGAAAGCTATAAATCGCCACCCCCGCCCATCAACTATGGGTTTAATAATTACTATTTATTGCAATAAAATCACCCAGTGACTGCGTTTGATTTGGTTGTGTTTCTTTTACGGCACATCAACCTAAATGGGTTATTTAATGCCGACAAGATTTATATTGTTGTAATTTTTTTTTTTTCGAAAAGTATTTCTAATAATATTTTTTCCTAAAGTGTATTGTTGGTAATATTTCTTTTTACAGAAATGTATTGCTGGTAATATTTTTTTAAAAAAACAATAATGTATTGCTGGTAATAAGGATATATGACACAGTGGATGAAGGCATTAGTTAGATCCAGTGACAGGACTCAAAGAGTGTGAGTTCAATACCCGGTTAAGGCAGCGAATGTATGCAAGTGACGCGAGTAATGGCGGCCGCCAACGACGCGATTGAATCCCAAATTCCACTGTCGATAACTCCAAAATGGTCGATTATATCAAATTTATCAAGACAGATTCGAATGGAGCAAGTACGATTACACATAAATGTAAGTATTTTGGAAAATTTTATTGCGAACAGAGTGTGGTTGTTACACTTCAGATTAACCGAAAATATAACAGTCGGCGGCAGTCCGTTGCATTTCCATAACTTTTGCAGATGAAATTCATGAAATCATGTGAGTGGATCAACTCCTGGCAAGATGAGGTCTCCCATAACATAATTCACGCCATCGGCACTTTTTTCTATTCTGATTTTCTTTCACCTCTAAATCTGGCAAAGCCAAACGGCGATAAGGATTGGATGACAGGAGCAGGATTTAGTTAAACTGGAAGCTTTTAGCGCTCAAACTGCACGTCGGCAGCGCATTTAGTCATCAACGAGATCATCATAAAGGAAGCGATCAACAAAAAAGAAATTAACTTCTTGGATACTTGGAGAGGGGAATTACCAGGAGATAACTGATAACTGACATCCATTAAACATAGCACGTGGAACTAGAACAATCTTCGCCAGCGAGGGAAATAAAGGGTTCAGTTCGACATTCCAACCACCTGAAGAAGGCCGGAGCGTACAACAGCCGAAACGTTGTGATAAATACGGCGACAAAGATGAGAACGATAGTCCGAAGAATGTAAATAGTGTACATAATACTTCATCTCAGAAATATAGACAGATAATAATTTTCTCTTCAAAAATTTATTACTGGTAATAATTTTTTTACAAAAAAAATATTTTACACGTTTTTAACGCAGATTTAGGGTTAAGTATTTGCCCATAGCTGGGACCATGATAGGTGCTACCACCCCAAGTCAGGATGGATCTTGGAACACCAGCAATTAAGAGGTGGTTCCACGCTCCTCAAAACCTTCTTATCAGAGGCCTTGCTGTTGGATCTAGTTTATCGTCTTACCCAGGACGCGGATAAAGTTTATTTTCTTTCCCAGGACGCGGATGTAGTTTATCTTCTTACTCACGACGCGAATGTAGTTTATCGTCTTACCAAAGACGGCATCTTTTAGTCAGTGTTAGAAAACTCCTTTCATTTTCCTCGGATCTTTCTTACTTGTGCAATAAATCAATTGCGTTAAAATATTTTGGGGACACCGTTATTTCTTAAGCTTAGCTTGATACATGGGTATAAATATAGAGTGCCCAGTGGGGATCGAATTTAACCACATCCTATTAATGTTAAACAAGACTATTTTGCTAACAATTAACTCACGTCGATGTACGCAATCAAACTGACAACCGGTATCCAGGAATGAACTATGCTGTCACAACCAAAAACAAACATGGCGTCTCTTTCCGATCTTTGAATCAATATTCGCTTTGACCAGCTTCCCTTATTCACATTTGGTCAACTTTCACGCACTAAAGTTAGTTCAGGCTCTCTCTTTATCTTTGTATCCCTCCATATATATATATATATATATATATATATATATATATGTGTGTGTGTGTGTGTGTGTGTGTGTGTGTCCTTAGTGCTAGATTTAAAGGCACAATATGGTGTACTCAAAATGATAAGACCGAAAATTTCCTAGAGGAGTTATTTGGAAAGAAAGACGAAATATAAGACAAAAACACGGGAAACGCAGGTAAATTTAACAAGGTCACCGATCTCATTAAATTCTACGAATGAATTCTTCAGGGTGTATTCGGAACTGAATCAAGCCCGTTCAAATAATAATACACACACACACACACACACACACATATATATATATATATATATATATATATATATATATATATATATATATATATATATATATATATAGTAATGCAAATACAAAATTTAT